CCCGATATTCTGGCTATTGGTCAGTTTTATAAGGGCTGGTTGTACGGTGGTGGTTTATCCAGCCAGAACGTATTGGCTTACGGTGATATTCCTGACAAAGCGAACGATTACTCCGCCGCTAATCTTATGATGCCTCAGGGCGCAATCATAAACGGCAAGCTTGATGAAGTTCATCCGATTGATTTACGTGATCCAAATGAGATTCAGGAGTTTGTGCCGCACTCATGGTACAAGTACCCTGATGGCGTAAAAGGTTTGCATCCTTGGGATGGTATTACAGACCCCGACTTTGATGTTAGCTCAGCAAAAGGCACTAGCCATAATATCGAAGAGCTTGATGAGGGTGCCAGTTATTCATGGATTAAAGCGCCTCGCTGGAAAGGGCATGCTATGGAAGTTGGGCCGTTGGCTCGTTATATCGTCGGATATGCTCAGGGGCATGAGTACTTTACCGAACAGATTAATATGACGCTTAAGACGCTCGATGTACCATTGGAGGCTATATTCTCAACCTTGGGCAGAACGGCAACGCGAGCACTGGAAGCACAATGGGCAGCTGATCAGCAACTCTATTTCTTTGATAAGTTGATTACTAATATTAAAAATGGCGACAGCGCGACTCACGGTGGTGAGATGTGGGATCCGAAAGACTGGCCTAGTGAGGCCAAAGGTGTTGGTTTTACTGAAGCACCTAGAGGCGCACTGGCTCACTGGATAGTAATCAAAGATACCAAAATTGAAAACTATCAATGTGTTGTTCCAACCACATGGAACGGTTCACCACGTGATGAAGCCGGAAATATTGGTGCCTTCGAAGCTTCAATGATGAATACTAAAGTTGAAGTGCCAGAAGAGCCAGTTGAAATCTTGCGTAATGTTCACAGCTTTGACCCCTGTCTTGCTTGCTCGACGCACCTTATGACGGAAGAGGGTGAGGACATTACAACAGTAACAACTGGCCCAGTCGGCTCATAACGGGAGAATAATGCTATGACTACAATAGTAACAAAATCCCGTAGTGAACCAGCCGTCTATGTCATGAAGCACCAGTG